TTTTAATTTCTTCCTCTCTCACTTAATTTCCCTGTAGAATACAAATAATAAATAAATAAATTCTTAATTTTATAAATTAGGCAATATAATGTTCAAAATAAGGAATATAATATTTATCATTTAGTATTATAGTTGTCAACAACAATAGTTAGTATTGAAAAAAAGAATACATCACACTATATTGAAATAATACTACATAAATTGATAATTAAAGATAAACACAGAATTTAGTACTTTGACAAACTGAAATTGCTTCCCCCAAGACTGAAAAATTGACCAAAATGTATTTGTTAGGCTTGTTGAGATTTTCCCCCAAAATTCATGTCATTTTAACTTCAATTTATGCTGGAATTATAAGATCTTTTATGGAACTAACATCTTGAAGCATAATTCTATTTTCTTTCCACATTTCTTTTAAAGCATAAGACTTGGTTCACATTTCTAGCTGGTATTTCAATTGTTCGTTTGCCTTTTTAACTCATGTGATAGAAGTTTATTGTATTAATTTTTCATGGTGTTGATGAATATTGATGAATCATCATTATTCATATTTATTTTTATTATTTTTTAATGTTTGATATTTCTTTTTAGAAGGAGAATGACCAACCTATTTGTTTGATTTATCTAAGTATAATCCGGGATCTTATGTGATATAGGATATTAGAGCCAGGTGAATTCCATTTTCACTAACATTATGTGACAAACACTTTTGATCTAGGTATCTAAAAACTGTAAATAATTAAGCATAGTCAATATAAGTAGCATATATTTAAAAATATAATGAGATTTTAATACCCATAATATCTTCAGTAGACTCTTTGGTGCATATCTTCTACTGTTTTTATGCATGCATAGGGTCTCTAGACTGCTTTTTCGATTATTTGAATTCGTACTTGCATATATCTTTCGGTACAAACCTCCCAATGCTAAAGTGTTTCTCAGTTGAAAGCTTCTCGATATGAGATCAGAATCGATCAGATGATTGGTACACCCCAATAACAGGGTCATGAGAAATTTTCATATATAAACTCAACGTAAAAGGATATATTCACCGTGGTTATAAAAAATTGATCAGGATTGATATTATTCTTACAAGAAATTAAATGTGCTAAAGTTTTATCATAGAGGATGACAATGTTGTGATGTAGCTAGCACAACACAAAGATCTTTTTTATATTGAAAAATATTATATGTGCTCAAAGATATTTACAATATCCTCAATGATATGATTTGAAAATAACAACCCTTTTCCAAAGATTCTTACAAATTGATCTCAAATTCGAAATGACAACTATCTGCAGTGTTCTCATGATCTCTCTCAATGTTTGTATTGTTTTTGTTAAACAATACATAATGATCCCACCACTTTGACTTCCACACAGTCACACACACACACAAGAACGTGCCAACCATCTTCCCTTTATAGATAAAGCTCTCGTTACGAAAAAAACATGAAACCAAAATTTTCAGTCATTTTATAACATAATTCAACATACTAAAACCTACGGGGAAAATAACATGTAATATAAAATAAAATAAAATTAAATAAATTAAATGTTGATGACATATTATATTAGTATAGGTTTTCTCTTTTATACCCTTAGTAAGTGAGTTTCTTGTAGAGCAAGTTTGTGTACCCTTGTAACCCTAATTGGTTTTATATATTAATGTGAGAGCAGTATACGAGATCATCAGATTGATGACTCGATCAACATCTTTCTTCTTCTTTCTGCTTTATCATGGTATCAAGAGCAGGTTAAATTTTTAAGATTTTTTTTACTCTCGTTCTCCTCTCATGGCCAGTACAAGCACCAGTGAGACTACTACCCGAAAAACTATCTCCCCCTACGATATTACTTCGAGCGACAACCCTGGCCTTTTGATTACTCAAATTCAATTAAAAGGAGATACGAATTATGAAGAATGGTCTCGTAGTATACGTACTGCTCTTCGTGCACGAAAGAAATTCGGATTTTTGGATGGTTCGATCGCGCGTCCGTCTGCCAACGATGAGTTGTTCGAGGATTGGCAAGCCAACAACTCTCTTTTGTTATCCTGGCTTATGAACAGCATCGACAGCACGCTTCGATCTTCCGTCGTCGAACCGGATTATGTCGAGGACCTCTGGTCTTCCTTGAAGGAACGATTCACGCTGAACAATGGTCCGAGAATTCAGCAACTCAAATCCGATCTTGCGTCCTGTAAACAGAAGGGCATGAGTGTTGAAGCATACTACGGCAAAATTTCAAAGATTTGGGAAGAATTGGCTAATTACGATAAACCTCCAATGTGCAATTGTGGTCTCTGTAAATGTAATTTGCCGGCTGCGTGGAATCGTAAACAAGAAACCGAGAAAGTCCATCAATTTCTCAAGGGCTTGGATCTGAATCTCTATGGTCCCACTCGATCGCATCTACTGGCCCAAGATCCTCTGCCGACATTGAATCGGGTGTATTCCACTTGCATTCAAGAAGAACGCATGCGCACCATCTCTGTTGCAGAGGATGACCTTGCTCCCGCTGCGGGCTTTGCTGTTCGATCGGGCCCGATTTTGTTCAATCGCGGGCCTGAAGGTAATATCGGCGGTGGTCGCACAGGTGGTGGTCCTCCCCATGCGCTGCCAGCATCTGCTTTTGTGCCGCCGGTAACGGGTCCCTCAAACGAACAGTCCGGCGGATCTGCGGGCGGTGGCGGAGGCCGACAGCGGCTGTGCTCTCACTGCGGCAAATCCGGACATCTCGCGGCCAGCTGCTTTGAAATTACTGGCTTCCCGGACTGGTACCCCCGTGGTGGTAGTGGACGGCGCGGTGGACGGCGCGGTCGCGGTGGACGCAGCGGCGGAGCTCCGGTCCACGCTAATGTCGCCACAGCAGCAGACCCGATTGGAAGTGCATCTAATAAAGGTCTCACCTCTTCTGACCGCCTTCTTAGTGGGCTGACTAATGAACAGTGGTCTCAACTTGTTCATCTAGTTAATTCTGCTAAACAGGACAGTAAGTCGTCTGGTAAGCGAAATTTATATGATTGGATGTATGACTGTGGTGCTTCTCATCATATGACTGGTTATTTCGAATTCTTGTCTGATGTTTATGATATTCCGGCTCGCCCAGTTCAGTTACCCAATGGGTCTTTGACGTCTGCCAGTCAAATGGGCACTGTTTATTTGGGGCCGTCTCTTATTTTACGAGATGTCTTGTTTGTACCCAGCTTAAAGTGCAGTCTAATATCCTTGTACCAACTGCTGAATACGTCGGGTTGTACGGCTCACTTTACTAATAAGTTTTGTGTCGTACAGGATTGCACTTCGAGGACGGTGACTGGAGCGGGTGAGCAGATAGGGGGACTATACTTTTTCCGGGGGACAGCTTCTGCGGCATCTACTCGAGTAGTCAAGGCTTCTTCTGATTTGTGGCACCAGCGGTTAGGTCATCCGTCGAGTCGTGTCTTGTCACAGTTGCCTTTAGTTGATTCTCAGTTTTCTGCTTTGAATAAACCATGTGATGTCTGCTTTCGCGCAAAACAAACTAGAGACAGTTTTTCTCTTAGTAGTACTGTGAGCACAGGCATTTTTCATCTGATACATTGTGATTTGTGGGGCCCCTATCGGGTTCCGGCCTTTTGTGGATCTCGTTATTTTTTGACAGTCGTTGATGATTTTTCACGTGGTGTTTGGATTTATTTACTGGCTGATAAGGCAGAGGTCTCTTCAGTGTTGATCAATTTTTTTGCTATGGTGAAACGTCAATTTGGTGCCTTGGTGCGAGTGGTTCGCAGTGACAATGGCACTGAATTTATGTGCATGACTGACTATTTTCGTCATGAAGGAATTTTACACGAGACCTCTTGTGTGGGTACCCCTCAGCAGAATGGGCGTGTTGAACGTAAGCACCAACAC